ACTCATTCCTGTGCTCTCTCAAGTAATTCTTGAGTCTTTGTCAAAAGAATATTTAGCTAATTATCAGTGTCTGCTGTTCCACATTTATGCTTTCAAAGGCCTTTTAATATTGTTATACCTCATATATGTGTTTTAAGATTTATTATACAGTTTTTTATGGGCATCAGTCTGAAGAACCTTCTGCGCATGCGCATTTTTGCATTTCTGGCCACGAGGTTTGACTGGTGTATTCCCAGCCATTCGGTGACAGAAGGCCGGTGAGAAATGTCTTGTTTTTGGTGTTGCATTGATTCAGGGTTATTCTTAAGACTATATAGTGGTAATGAAGAAGAAATAGACTTTAATAACTATTGCAGTTTGATATCTAAGCCCGTCAAGTCCCTCAAAGGCAGAAAAAAGTGATTAGAAATGAATGAATTAATGTTTGAAAACAAATGTGCTCAACATCAAAGGTCATGTAGCACTATGGTAAAGTATTGCGTCGGAGAGGGCTAAGGAGAGTTAAAGATTATGATAAAATGTGTTAGATGTCAAAGGTTTAAGAACGTTATAGGATAGAAGGGTAGTGAAAAGGGGAATAGGGGGGCAAATGAATTAGAGCAGTAATTAGTATAAAGGGGAGGGTAGGACGATTGAGTGAATTACAGTGTATCTGTCATTGAAGAAAGTATAGGAAAAATGCTCAAGGAAGAATAGAGATAGGGTTTGGTTTGGGTGTTTGAGGAGATGAGGTATTCTAGGAAGGGGTTGGGGGAATATAAGGGGGTAGAGCAACTTAGTGAATTGCAGTGCATCTGTGACTGGAGAAAGAGTAGGGACATTGATCAAGGAAAACAGAGGTGGCTGTTGGAGAAGTAGAAGAATCCAGGGGTTGAGAAGGGGAGACTGGGGAAGGTGGTGAAGCATCAGGAAAAATGTCTGGAACTTAGGAAGGGGGAGGATGAATATCTGCAAATACTTTAAATGTAGCAAGAGTAGGATCAGAGGGATTGGGGGGCGGATGAGGGGGCAGTGTTCCCTTGGGTCATCTTAAGGAAGTTCTGGATGTCTTCAAGTGTTTCTGGAAGGGAATTTGGCATAGAGGACTGAGAAACAAAGGTTTTCTTATGAGGAGGAGAAGAGGAGATGGATATCTGAGGAACAGATGAAGAGGAAGGTATAGGAGAGAATGTAGTAGGAGAGCGTGGAGTGGAACGTATAGGTTGCCTGGTAGTCTGGAGGAAGGGTAGGTATCCAGGAAGTAGTAGATATTGGATTATCTGGATTTAGGATGGAAAATGGATTTGACTGGTGGATAGGGTAAGTAGACAGAGGACGTAGGTTTTGGGTATAGGGAAAAGATACCAGGGGAGATGCAGAAATATCTTATGTAGATGGTGGTGATGCCGAGAGAAGGACTGTTTTGGAATAAGTTGAGAGAAAAAAACCTGGTCGTCGTTCTTCCTGTCTGGCCTCTCATAGAGTGAGGCCTAGTTTAAATCTGAGGACTGCTACCTCACATTCAAACTTACAGGCAGGGCAGTTCCTATAAAAACACATTATGGGAGTCTCCACAATTAGCACGTGTATGTGACTGAACATGGCAATTTGAACGGTCATGACCAGGTTGGGCACATAGAGGGCAGTGGGCTGTGGAGCGACAATGCTTGGGTAGGTGGCCAAAACGCCAACGTTTTTGACATTGGTATTGTCGGACATGATAAGACAATCCACCAATATAAACCTCATGGTGGAGGTCTTGTCTATGGAAGCTAATCTTGGCAATATTGACATGTGATTTACATTGGCCTCTGGGAGGAAGAGTGTAACAATGTACTGCCACTGGATCATATTCACCAAGCAAGGAAAGTAGGTCATTTTCACAGTCTGACCAGTCCTTGTTATACATGAGACAAGCATTTGGGGGAATAGAAACAGTTCCAGTACAAGTATTAAGAGTTGGGTGAGATTCGGCAAGAATGGGTTTGCCAGTAAGGTAGATAGTGCACGATCTTGGGCTTCAGATGTAACTGTGATCAGAGTGACTGCGAAAGGTAACCTTGCCTACTTGTTTCTGGAGGCCATGCTGAAAGAGAATGGTATTCTCAGAAGGTGGGGGGGGCTGTGGGGGGAATCACAAAGAATCGATCCCACTTGGTTGGGCCAAATAGAGTACTCAGGTTTGCAGAGGTAGAGGTAGTAGAAGGACGAGGGTGAGAGGAAGATAGGGTGGTGTAGAGTGGATTAGTTTGGGGGGACGACAATAAGGATGAAGAGTAGTAATAAGGGAAGAGGGGGTTGACATTGAAGTAGGTTGTGCAGCAGGGGGGTGTTGGGGGGTTGGGTTATGAGTTAGGACATTTTTGGGGGTTTTAGAACGTGTGAAATCCTGAAGATTTTCCTGAAAGATGGGTTTTGGCGCGTTGGTGCGTAGACTTTCAAAGATGCCAATATTTAGCATTTTTTGTGCTGGTTTTAAGCATTTTTGTTCGCTATTCTCCTTATTTAAGCCTGTTTTACTCTGATATACCTCATGCCCTCCCCTGCTATCGGGACTTGACACATCAAGATTGTCGGCTGTGATTGGTACGGAAATAACCATCAGATTCGTTCTTGTCACATGAGAACAAATCTGATGATATAAATATTGTCTGGGAAGTCCTGATTGTCATAAACAGTAAAATAACCGAAAGGTTTGGTTTGGGTTTTTAGCTTTGTATGATACCCTGGTTTTGGGACATAGTCTCTGGAGGGTGCATCATTCAGTAACAATAGACCAATTCGGTGTGATGTCAGGAGTTAGAGTCACTATTCCACTTGATGAAAACAAACCTGTCGCTTGCTATCAGCATGAGCAAAAATGGCAAATTAATTCTTTGATTCTTCAAAAACTGAATCAAAAAAACAATATGAAACAAAACTAGAAGCTGTGTGGCTAACAGAGTACCCATACCGCCTGCCTGCTGAAATTTGGATCGACAATCCTTCAAAATGGCCTAATATTGAATATCCCATCTATCATTATTTCACCAATACATCAGGTAATAATAATTTTAATGTAGCTGCATCCTCCCTTTGTTTCCACCTTTTGGGGTCCCTCATTGCAAGCTGCCAGGCAAGGACTCAGCCCATCTCGAGCTCCTCACGACAGGTTTGATCGATCTGCCTAAGCCACGACTTCCTAGGTCATCCCACAGGCCCCCTCCACCCAGGGTTGTCTCTTGAGGAGACAACCAGGTGGGCAGGATCATCCTGTGGGAAATGAGACAGGTGGCCATATAGCCTGAGTTGGTGATCACAGATTGTACAGGTAACAGGTTCTGTGCCAGTCTCGTGGTGCAACCATTGGTTGGACACGTACTCCCACCAACAGTAACCCATGATCCGGTGCAAGGACCTATTACAGAAGGCATCAACATGAGACTCCAAGGCACAGGATAATGCCCAGGTTTCACTACAGTATAGATAAACTGGCATTATCAAGGCCTTGAAAACCCATAGCTTGGTCCTTCTGCACAGGTACCGGCATCTCCAAATACTCTTGTCAAGAGAGTTCATGATCCCTGCTGCCAGGCCAATCTGTCTGCAGACTTCTTGGTTTGACAGCCCAGAGTTATGAACTACACTACCAAGGTATGTAAAGCTCTCTGTGTCTTCAAAGTCCTTGCCGCAAGCATGTACCAACTGAACAGGTTCTCCTAGCAAGTCCCCAGAGTCCTGGATCTTGGTCTTGGTCTAGGACACCTCATGACCCAAGGGCTTCGCTTCATTACTAAATGCATCAAGAGCCACCACTAAGGTTTCCAAGGACTCAGATAGAATAGTAATATCATCAGCAAAGTCAAGGTCTGTAACCTTGATATTGCCCAGTGATGCTCCACAATGACTTTGAACAGTAGCTATGCCCAGTATCCAGTCCATGCAAGTATTGAAAAGTGTTGGTGCAAGGAAGCAGCCTTGCCTTATTCCTGAACTAACAGGAAAGAAGCTCGACAGGCCCCTACTACACTTTACAGCACTTTCAGTACCAGTATACAGGCTTGCTATTAGTCCAATAATCCTTGTTGGAATTCCTCTCAGTCTCAGGATCTCCCAGAGTGATTCCTGATACACCGTATCAAATGCCTCCTTGAGGTTGATGTAGGCTGCAAGCAGCCCACGCCTGAATTCACAAAGGTGCTCTATACTGACTTGAAGAGCAAGGACACGGTCTATTGTGGACATATCAGGAGTGAATCCAGATTGCTTCAGCCTCTGATACATCTCAGAAGGATGTGGGCAAGAACCTTGCCTGGTATACCGAGCAGTGTGATGCCTCGGTGATTGCTGCAGTCCCATCGGTCCCCCTTCCCCTTCGAGAGAGGGATAACCACACCCCTTAACAAGTTAGGAGGAATGGTACCGAACCGCCAGATAGC